GTTGTTCATACAACATGGTTTATGATTCTAGCACTCATATATGTTGCGGTGGTTCAACATACGACAATACGTACCAGTGTTGTAATAGCATTCTACCCTATCTACCATCATCTGAAATTTGCTGTATCGACACACTCGAACCTTTACATGGAGTAGGATCTACAGCATGCTGCGACAGAGTGAGCTATGACACTACCTGCCATACTTGTACTAATGGTATTGTGGGATTGAACTTCAACGAACAAACAGAACTTTGTTGCGATGGCAATATTCAACAGAAATTATATGCTTATAGCTGTTGTTGCGGGCAAAATGTGTTCGATGCCGCTCTTCACACTTGCTGCAATGGACAAGTGGTAAACAGAACGTCCTCAGATGAGGACCATTGCTGTCGTAAGTTTGGTTTTATACTTCACACAAATACAAATGTCAATTTCAAACTCTCCAGTTGTTTGTTGACAGATTGTGAATCATGAATAATATCACTGATATATTTTAGTATTTTCCACCATTTCCCCCACCACTTTTCTGCCCAATTATTTTCTGACTAGAATGATATTAATATGACAGACTTCAAAAGTGTGTTAGTATTATCGTTAAGAATCAAAGTAGTATGTATCTTTGAAATAATACATGTTAAATATCAGTAATATTCTATTGGTATGCAGGATAAATAATATTGCTTGTTTTAAATGATACATTAACAAACATTTTCTATATTCCAAAATGAATGTTTTCTTTTTGTTTTGCTTTCAGACTGCATAAATAAGTTGGTTGATATCGCTTTGGTATTCGATCTATCTGAAAGTGTTCATGACCAGGCGGCTAAACATGCTAGTATGATGAATTTTGCAAAAAGCATAATCGATGACTCGGACATTCCAAACATGAAATTCTCAGTTGTTACATTCACACATGAAGTATTCGTGGAGTTTCTTTTACATGAATACTCTTCCGCACAAGACTTAAAGAATCGAATAGATTTAATACCGATTCGTTCTGGTGGAACAAACACAGGGGCTGCTATCGAAAGTCTATACACAGTGGTATTTAACGCCGCGTATGGTGATCGTGCAGGTGCTCCAAATGTTGCTGTTATTGTAACAGACGGCAAATCAAATGATAATGCCCAAACAATACAACAGGCAGCAATAGCCAAAAACATGGGTATCCATATTATAACAGTTGGCGTTGGCATGACAGATATGACCGAACTTCATGATATTGCTTCATCACCATCAACAGAAAATGTGTTTCCATCAACGGATTTCAATCATTTGTTTTCGGTTATAGATGTAATTGAAAACAAATTCAAAGAGGAATGCACAGGTACGTAGAGAAATATAATCTCAACGATTTGTAACAATTATGAAATAGAGCTATCAATTTAATAAAAAGTCTTAGTCAAGGTAAATAAATAAAGTTTAATTAATATTTACAATTACATACATAATACAATGTATATACAATTACGCAAAATTACATTGATAAATACATAAATAATACAATTAAATGACATAAATACTTATTGATTGATTATTCTGTTCTCTTAAGAAAAGAAATGAGATGTAATTATAAACATTGTTTAATTCTTATACACAATGTGAATTTTATGAATCTATAATGCGCTTCAAAAATATTTGTAACGTGTTCTGCACCAAACTACAATTTCTTAATTGATATATTTTAATTTATTTCAGATATACCAGCGATGCGTAAGTTTAATTACTTAGATGATTTATATACTAGTATCTGTAATTAAAATGAACTTAGAATTCATAAATAATCACACATTTGTCCTTCTATCATTACATAACTGTTGAATTATGTTCTTCAAATTTGTAATTATGAAGTTAACATGTATATATTTTCAGTTATGCTTTTTCAGTTTTCTGCGGCATTCATACATACGATCCGAAAAGTCATGTTTGTTGCAACGGACATTTGCTAACGATAACAAATGTAGATGCAACTCATTGCTGTGGAAACTTCCCTTGGATAACCTTATATGACATTAATAATGCTGTATGTTGCAATGGAGTGGTTATTCCAATAACCATACCCGGACAACACACCTGCTGCGGATCCTACTCCCTGTATAATCCATTAAGTCAACAATGTTGCGGAGGTAATGCTATAGGTCTTACTGAGTCATGTTGTGGTAATCACACATCGTATAATCCAATAGATCAAATTTGCTGTAATGGAATTGTCAACGCTCTTCACGGACAAGGTACAACAGAATGTTGTGGAACTGTAAGCTTTAATAACCAATGCAACAATTGTGTTAACAACGTTGTGGTGTTAGGATATGACGAGGCAACACAAATGTGTTGTAACGGAATTATACAAAGTAAAACTTACCATTTAAGTTGCTGCTGCGGATCGTCTGTTATAAATGCTGTGAACTACACATGTTGTGGAGGGGTTCCTATACCAAGACCACCATCGGACACATCCAATTGCTGTCGTAAGTTTGAACCTTAAGTAATTTAGTTTTAGCATCTAGATAAATACATGTTTTGAAAGAACAAAATAGATTTTGTGTGTCAAATATTACGATCAAAGTTTATTTCAGTATTGAACTATTATTCACAATTTAATATTTCAAATAATAAATCTTGCAGCAATCGTTATCACATTTTATGTATCAGTATATTTACATCAACAAATGAAAGTGTCATTGTCGTTACAAGATTCTATCTACAGTATATGTATTTCAAATAGTAAATATGTAATATTGTATCAAATAATAAATGCAAACAATTTGCAACAATTGTTAGCAGATGAAACCAGTCAGTAAATTCATTATAACTCATAAACTATGATATAACATTTCTTTCCAGATTGTATCAATCGCATGGTAGACGTTGCAATCGTTGTAGATGCATCAGAAAGTGTTTACGATGTACCTGGTAGCATTGATTTACTTCTAAACTTTGTTAAAGATATTATCGTGGATTCTGCCGTCGATTCGGGTGATGTCAGGTTTGCGCTTTCTCTTTACAACCACGCCGTGTACAACTACTTTTATCTGAATACACACTCTACCGTCGCTCAGATAATTGCTGATATAGATTCTACACCATTACCAATATCTGGGGGTACTGATACTGGTCTTGCTCTCGAACATTTGCACAGCCAAGTATTCATTTCAACTATGGGAGACCGTTCGGAAGCTCCAAATTTGGCTATTGTCATTACAGACGGAAAATCTTCAGATAATATTGCAACAGTAACGCATGCGTCTACTTTAAAACAACAAGGTGTCCATGTAATTGCTATTGGTATCGGAAGTGGTACGGATGTGACGGAGTTAAATCAGATCGCATCAGATCCACCATTTGAAAACGTTTTCAACGTAGTTGACTTTAACGGGTTACTAACAATTGAGGCCTTGATCGAGCAGAAGTTTGTAGCAGACTGTACAGGTAGGATTTATAATATTTAATTAAACACTTAAGGTTGCTTCGCAAGACCTACTTACTTTCATTTTCTTTTTTTTATACAGAATTTATTTCAGTTTCATTGTGTTGGAAGCTTTAGGATTAAAGACACACTTTTTAATCCGTATCAGGAACCAAACAGTATTGAGCAATAGGGGAAAAGTTTCTTACCCAAGGAAACAATTGCTTGCCCCTGATACGGTTTGAACTCCTGTAACTAGCGATCATTAGATTACTAAGCCGACACCTTAACTACTCGACCATGCCGCCACTCATTTTCTTTTGAAATTTCTTTTATTAAATATCACTTAAGTATTTACATTTAATATCCCGAATATGCCATGTTTGAACACATTTAAAATGTTTCTAAATAGAAGTGAACTTTGCATTGTTTTTGTGTGTCCTCAGTAAAAAAAGATACAATTCATATTGATGGTACCGAAATGTGTAAATAATGACTTTGTCTTAAATGAGGAATAAAAACTTTAATCTCAAAGTGATTTTTTTATTTCAGAAACACCTGTCATGCGTGAGTGATATTTTTATATATAATTTATTAAAGCAGAATTAAAAATAAGTTTCTAAAGAAGATTTACTTTTGACTTATAATTATAGTTTTTGTCATAAAGAGTTGATTTTTAATGTACAATATTTAAATAAAACTTGCTACATTGGACAATTCCTTTTTTTCAGATATATTTGTATTTCTTCTTTATTTTTAAGCATTATGTGGAAGTGTGCCTTACAATCCAACAGTATATGTGTGCTGTCAAGGGAATCTGATATTAACTGTAAACGCCAGCGCAACGCAATGTTGCGGTAGCTACTCCTGGACTGCGTTATATGATCCAAGCATTGCAGTTTGCTGTAATGGTGTTGTCATTCCAATAACAGAACAAGGCCAGGACTCTTGTTGTGGATCTTCCTATCTTTATAACTCACTCACTCAAAAATGTTGTGGTGGATATCCAGTTAATATGGCACAAGAATGCTGCGGCAATAACCAACCTTTTGACCCTTTAACTGAAATTTGTTGCAACGGGACTGTCAATTCTCTTTATGGACTAGGTACAACAGAATGCTGCGCAACGGTGAGCTATGACAATAAATGTAACCAGTGCATTAATGGCGTAGTTGTCCTAGGATATAACGAAGCCACAGAAATGTGTTGTGAAGGAGTTATTCAATCCAAACTATATGAATATAGCTGTTGTTGTGGAACAGGTGTAATTAATGCGCTTAACTTTACTTGCTGCGGAGGCATATCAATGCCACGATCACCACTGGATTCTTCGTTATGTTGCCGTAAGACTTTTTAAATATGTGTACCTGAATTTCTATTTTCTTCATGTTTTTATTGCCATGTTGTAAATTTATAGATTTTACTGCTGGTAAAAGTTATTTGTAATGATATAATATGATATTTTCTTCCTTGTATTTGTTTCATTTTTATATTTTAATAAATAGTAAATTATGCTCTAAGTATTGTTTGGCTATTCACTACTTAAATGTAACTCTCAAATAAAGCTATTTTCTTTCTTTGCAGATTGTATCAATCGAATGGTGGATGTTGCAATAATCGCAGACATTTCAGAGAGTATAAATGATACACCAAACAACATTTTTTACCTCCTTGATTTTATAAGAAATATAATAAACAGTTCATCTGTTGATTCAGGAGATGTGAGGTTTGCATTGTCTCTCTATAGTCACGTTGTCTATAACTACTTCCATTTCAACACTCATACAACTGTCGCTCAGATGATCGCAGATATCAACACAACACCATTACCAAACTATGGTGGCACGAACACCGGTGACGCACTTCAGCATTTGCATAGTCAAGTATTCCAAACATCTATGGGTGATCGTGGTGCTGCACCAAATATAGCCATCGTTATAACAGACGGAAAATCGTCGGACAATGCCCATACAGTCGAACAAGCAAACATTCTAAAGAATCAAGGTGTCCATATCATTGTAATTGGTATTGGAAACAATATAGATACTGTAGAACTTCATCAGGTAGCATCGGATCCAACGTTTGAGAATATCTTTAATGTCTACGATTTTTACGAACTGTTCACCATTCAAAATGTCATCGAAGAAAAGTTTATAGAGGAATGCACAGGTAAATTCTTTATTCTTTTTTTTATGTTAAATATAATGATTTTGTAATTTTCTTGATGAACATTTAAAGAAGATTTTCTGACATATAAAATAACCACATTCATGTCAAAACTAAAGATTGGTAAAATATTTTATAGATGTCACAATAGAGTACATGTAGTAGGTGGAACAGACCTGCGAGAAGAATTTTGTAATGATAGAAATAATGAATCGTCTTCTTGTTTCCCAGTACGCTACCAAGTACCTGTCATCACTTACCAGCAGTTTATCTGCACATAAATTGTTCTGTATCAAATCAAGTTAAACTAAATAGATGCCTGATATTAAGGTAACATGCAAACATTATGTACAACTAGAAATTGCATGAGATATTATATTTAATTGATACTTTTAATTTGTTTACAGAATTTCCTGACACACGTAAGTGTATTTTTATACAGTTTTACATTTACAAATATATGTATGTATTTGACTGTGTTTAAAGCTTAATCATGAAAGTAACAATGAAATAATTCATGTACAAAAACATCCAGTATTAAGATAAAGCTTATATATCGATTTATCAATCCATTTGTGCATGTAACATGACATTATGAGATGTTATGATGATTGATACTATTATGTTCATATCTTATTATTACTTTGATCCTTATTTAACTTTAAATAAATGGCTTAACTGAAGTGATTGATAACTTTATTCATTGCATTGCTTATAACAGCTTATTGTGGGTATCATCAATACAACCCGTTCGAGTATGCTTGTTGCGATGGTCATTTGGTAGCAATAACAGATCCAACAAAACATCAATGCTGTGGTTATGGAGCTTATGCAACATTGTACAATTCTGTCAATCAAGTTTGTTGCAACGGACAAGCTATAGATATAACACTCCAAGGTGCAAATATGTGCTGTGGAAGCAGTCTTTACAATCCATATACAGGAAAGTGTTGTGGTGGAACAGTTGTTAGCAATAACATGGAATGTTGTGGTGATACATTTGCTTTCAATAGCGCCATACAAATATGCTGTAATGGGTCGGTCCAACCGATACATGGACTTGGGACAACAGCATGCTGTGGAACTCAGAGTTATGACACTCGATGTGATCAATGTTACTATGGCGTAGTAGGTCTTCGTTATGATGAAAAAACAGAGCTATGTTGTGATGGTGTCATTAGTCCAAAATTGTACCCGTATTCTTGTTGCTGTGGCAGCAATGTGATAGATGCTTCTGTTGCAACATGCTGCAATGGGGTGCCGGAACCAAGACCTGCCTGGGATAATTCAATCTGCTGTCGTGAGTACCTTTTTTACTTTGCATAATTATCATTTGCTTAATTTCAAATTCTGGTGTGTTTGTCGCTATAATGTTTCTACTGGTCATATAGCAAGAACGGACTCATATGTAACTAATGTTTATGTATATTTATATTTAATAAAGTTAGTCATCAAGTCAAACATAATTAGACATTTTTTACCTGTAACATGAAGTTATGTTCCGACCAAATTATATACAAATGTATATTTATTTACAAAACATGTTTTACTTCACATATATTTTCCTAGCAAATATTTTACTTTTTACAGACTGTATCAATCAGAAGGTTGATCTGGCAATCGTAGCAGATATGTCTGAGAGTGTAAATGATGCTACAAACAAAGGTCAGGTCGTTATTGACTTTATCATCAATATTATTAACAACAGCGATATTGATACCAATAATGTACATGTCGCTGTATCAATATTTACGCATAACATCCAGAATCTGTTCTTCTTCAATTCATACTCCACACGACAAGATATGATAAATGACATACAAGCTACACAAATTTATTTTGGAGGAACAAACACTGGTGGAGCACTTCAGAATTTACATTCACAAGTTTTTACTCCTGTGAGAGGTGATCGTGCAGACGCACCAGATATAGCAATAGTGGTAACTGACGGCAAATCTAACAACGAAACTGATACAATGCTACAAGCTGCTGAAGTCAAAGCAAGAGGAATACACGTAATTGGTGTTGGAATCGGTCTTACAGATATATCTGAACTTAATGTTATAGCTTCCCCTCCAAGTCACCTAAATGTTTTTAACGTGGATGACTTTTTCCAATTAAATTCAATCATAGGAGATATCGAGGCAATGTTCGTCGAAAATTGTACAGGTAAAAATCTAGTTTTCATTTATTTATTTTTTATTTTCAATATTCATCAACAGATTCAGATTAAATTTCTAATTATTCTAAAGTAATTATAACACATATTTATGTTATATATCTATTCTGGATTTAACTTTTTGATTTGTTAGAGATAATTTTGACTTTTTATTTGATTTCTTTATTTTTCAGATACGCCGGACTTGTGTAAGTGTTTTGTATAAGTTTCATTTATTTATCAGGGACAACACACACATTTACACAACCGCCTCCGTGGTCGAGGAGTCGATGACTTCTAATCCAGTTACCTCTTTGACGTGGGTTCGATCCCCGGGAGATGCTTTGGTAGTTTAGCACGGAGGAAGGTAGTCTAGTACTGGTGTAACTCTCCAGGAATGATGGTTAGGAAACTGCCCGCCTAAGGCGTAAAATGAAACAAACAAAAACACATTTTCACCCATGTTTAGAAAAGGGGCAAATAGAATAGTAGCATGATAGGATATTAACATTTAAATAAATAAATTTGTATATGTTATAATAGGTACTATTTATTTTGAAAAATTAGATCTGACAAAAATCATTTAAACTAATTAAAACTATTTATGCCACAAAATGAATTAGTGAAAAGTTAATGTTCAGTTGCTTATACATCTGTTATTTTTATTTTGCAGTATATTGCGGGGTCATGCAATACGACCCACATGCCCATGTTTGCTGTGGTGGTACTTTATTAATCGTTACAAACCAAAACGCAAGAAGTTGTTGTGGCGCTCATCTTTTCGATGATTCCGCTGCTGTCTGTTGCAATGGGAACGTAGTTCCAATTCTTTATGCTGGACAGACTTCATGTTGTGGAAGTGTTTCTTTATTCAATCCATTGATGGAAAAATGTTGCGATGGAAATGTTATAAGTATATCAATGGAATGTTGTGGGTCCGGGTTGTACTTTGATAACATCACCCAGATATGCTGCGAGGGTACAGTGCAACCAATGCATGATATAGGAACCACTGCATGTTGTGGAACGCATAGTTACGATACTCATTGTAACAGGTGTTCACAAAGAAGCGTAATACTTGGATATGATGAAGAAACTGAATTGTGTTGTAATGGTGTAATTCAGCAAAGACTCTACACATATTCTTGTTGTTGCGGACATACTGTTATAGATGCTTCTGTGAATACTTGCTGCGAGGGTTCAATTATTGAAAGGCCTCCTTGGGACAGTAGTCGTTGTTGCCGTTAGTATTTAGTCAACATATTTTGTTTAGCAAATTTACCAATTTTAGTTGAAAGTTTATTTTATTTCTTCATATAAAATCATTATAGAATTAGATTGGATCTATCGGGAACAGTTTCAATTAAAAATAGGACTACTAAACAAATGTTTCACTAGAAAATTATTAATATATGTAATCTTTTCTCTTCAGATTGTACTAGCCAAAAGATAGATGTTGCCTTTGTTGTGGACTTTTCTGAAAGTGTACATGACTATTCATCTGATGTCATTATTTTGATAGATTTCATAAAAAATCTTATAAATATGGCTGACGTAGACACAAATAATGTACGTGTTGCATTATCTGTCTACACACACGAAGTTTTAAATTACTTCTTTTTAAATACATATCAAACAAGGGCACAGATGATAGACTATATTCAATCAGCATCATTTCCACAAGGAGGAACCAACACAGGAGCAGCTCTTGAAAATCTGTACACGACTGTTTTTAAAACAAATAAAGGAGATCGTTTGGATGTACCAAATATTGCTGTAATTATCACTGATGGTAAATCTAACAATAATACAGATACTGTCATTCAATCAACCATTCTTAAAGCGAGCGGCGTGCACGTAATTGTTATTGGAATTGCTTTGACGGATACAAACGAGCTTCATCAGATGGCATCTGAACCTACATCTGAAAATGTATTTAGTGTTGACGACTTCAGTGAGCTGTTTTCTATCGAAGATGTCATCAAGAATAAATTCATAGAAGATTGTACAGGTAAAAAATATTTTATATTAATTATATATTTTTTTTAATTAAGCATTTTTTTTCTCTCTTTTATTTCATGTTTACGTAATGTTAACTATTGCCTTATTTAATGATAATAGAATTGAATCTGTTGCTGTCAAAATATGTAAATCATTTTGTCCTTATACTATGTTAACTTGACATGCTGTTCATATTCTATTAAAACATTGTTTTTTCTTTATCCTTCAGATACTCCAGAAATGTGTAAGTATCTAAGATTTGCTTCAATAAAAATAATGAATTGATATATCTGTTATAAATTTCTTTATTTAAGAAAAACGACAATATAATTTTAATGATACAGTATAATGACATTTATTTGAATTAAAATTTCAACACAAGTAAGGCAGCGGAAGCGGCGGGTAAGATACCAATCCTCTTCATTATAGACCTGTTAATGTACGTAATTTTCTATCTTAAATGCATGTATGCATGTATTACGTGCACAAAGGTGACTCGACAGGAAAATGTCTATGTGATCTGAAATGTGGTTGGCGTCATTATATCAATCACGTAATGGTTAAAAATGTAGTTTAAATTCGAAAAGGTATTTAATAAAAGGGGTTGTAGGGAGGAAATTGATATTTTGCTTGAATTTAACAGGAACGGATCCGCACTTCGTGAGATGTTATAGTGAAATCCAGTCGTATTAAAACAAGATTCCAGATTAAGATACTGCTATTATAACCATATGTTAAATATGTTAAAATAATGTTTTTGGTTTCTTTTTCCAGTGATGTGCGGAAATACAAAGTATGATCCACATGCTTATGTTTGCTGTGAAGAGGAACTAGTTATTATAACAAGTCCGAACGCACGAACGTGCTGTGGTACGACCGGCCTTTATGACGAAATGTATGCCGTTTGCTGCAGTGGTAACATTATCCAGATAACTGCAGCAGGAAAAACATCATGCTGTGGAGAAACCATACTCTATAATCCGTCGACCGAAACATGCTGTGATGGAATTGTTCAGTCAAATTCAGTTACATGCTGTAGTAATGAAAAAGTTGATGTTGCTATAGTGGCAGATTCTTCTGAAAGTATTGTAATGTCGGACTACCATTTCGAAATGCTATGGACACTGACAGAGAACATTGTCATGCAAGCTGATGTAGAATCTGAAAACGTTCGTATTGCTTTAACTGTTTATACTCATAAAGTTTTTAATGAGTTTTCGCTTCACAAGTACAAAACGCGTAACGAGATGATTGAGCACATTAATAACTTACCTACTCGTTCAGGATCAACAAATACAGGTGGAGCACTTGAAAACCTTTACACTAATGTGTTCAAAACATCGTCAGGAGATAGAAAAAATGTACAAAACGTTGCTATTGTTATCACTGATGGTCAATCCATTAACGCAACTTACACAGCCGATCAAGCAAACAAAGCAAAATTATCCGGAATAAATATAATTGCAGTCGGGATTGATGTATCGGAAACAACAGAATTGTATGAAATGGCATCATCACCAAAGGAAGAAAATGTATTCGTTGTTAACGACCATAATGATTTATCTGATGTTGTCAGCGCCATTAAATCAAAATTCTTCAGTCAGTGTAAACAAGGTAAATATAAGAACAAATGGAAAAAATATTTAATTTAACCATATTTATCTACATAACGATAATTTGAATATGTTAAAACATTTATTCAAAGGCCAATGTTTGCTAGAATATCACTTAAGTTTTCTTTTAGTTTTGTTGATTGAATATCATTTCAACTTAAAATATGTTGCACTTAGCTCCTGAACAAACTCATTATAACCAATGATGGCAGTTTTAACTATTCGGGTTTTTTTGTTTGTGATCACATTCTAAAGGAATTTGACTTTTCCTGGATTTTTCCTTCAATATTTAGCATTAAATTGAAAGAGTTTTTAATATTTTATTAATATATAATCTGGCTCTTTCTCTAACCACATATTGTCATAACAATGCTGATATCTGTTTTATTAATTTGTTTCTTTCAATCAACAATTTAGAAAACGTAATAGTTATTGTTGAATCATGCATGAACTGAGAATAAGAATTTCAATGTGATACTCACTTCTTTTTTTATCGTTCAACATAGGGCACTACTGTGGAGGGTTTGCCTATGATGTCAATAAATATATTTGTTGCAACGGAGATTTGCAATACAGATATAATGGAGACAGCACTAAATGTTGCCGAGGACAATCGTATGACTCTAATCATTCAATATGTTGCAAGGGTGACATTTTGTCTGCAATAGTCGGACAATCTACAAAATGTTGTGGCAGAAAGGCTTTTGATCCATCAAAAAATATTTGCTGTGATAACAAACTAAGACAAAAATCTAGTAGTACGTCGAGATGTTGTGGCAGTTCTGTGTTCGAAAGCAACTGCTTTAAATGTGATTCAAAGGACATGATTGTACCACGTTTCAACGAAAAGACATCTGTTTGTTGTAACGGCAACATTATGGTCCGAAAATACGGAGATAATTCATGTTGTTGTGGAAACAAACAAATAGATCTTTCAAAGAAAGCCTGTTGTGATGGACTTCCGAGAAAAGTCCCACAGTCTTCACCTTGTGCATGCTGCGGTGAACGTTTGTTTAATGTTAAAAGCCAAATATGCTGTAAGACAAAAAGAAGGCGCCTTATCTACGGATATGATTCTCAATGTTGTGGCGATGATGTTTTTAACATGAACACACACATTTGTTGTCAAGAAACGTTACATGAAAAGAGATCTCAAGGAGACACGTCATGTTGTGGAGCAAATTTGTTTAATCCTAGGAAAGAAAGGTGTTGTGACGGAACGGTGCGAGTTATCCCAGACTCTGTCGACGTAAACAAAATCCTGTGTTGTGGAAAAGAAATTTTTGATTCAACCAAACATATGTGTTGTGAAAATACTCTTTTATCTAGAAACATGAACAATGCATCATGTTGTGGACAAATACAGTATTCTTCTAAGACAGGTTGTTGTTCAGGATTACCATATGATCCTTCCCTTTACATGTGTTGCAATGGAAAATTACTTTTAAAAACAACACCATCTGCCGATTCTTGTTGCGGCACTTCTGGGACATATGATAGTCGAAATGAAATATGTTGTAATGGATATGTACAATTTAAAGTTTCAGGAGAAACAACTCAGTGTTGTAGCACGAACAGTTACAATCCATCATTGTATATTTGTTGTGATGGAAAAACTAAGTATAGAAAATATGGGGAACTTACTGCATGCTGTGGTACTAAGGTTTACAGTCCTGTTCAAGAAAATTGTTGCAACGGTATGGTTGTAAGTTTTTATTTACAGAAAGGTAAACAGAAGAAATCCAACTCTGAATCTTACCAGGATGATGATATGGAGGAAACAAAGAGTAAAACACTGATTAAGAAAGTACAAAAAAGGATAAATAAGTTAAAAGATAAACTTAAGTCTGTAGATAACGTAGAAAAAAATACAAAAGACCAAAAAACTGTACAAGAGCGATTAGAAATCCTAAAAAGAAAGCGGAAACAGTTAAAAAAGAAATTTATTAAATCTAACGACCAGAAAAAATCTAGAAAATTAAGCAAAAAGATTGAAAATGTGCAAAACAAAATAACAAAATATTCAAAAACTGAAATAGAGCCAATAAATAAAAATAGGGACAGTACAAAAATTAATAAAGAAAGATTGAGACGCCTTCTTCAAGAATTTAAAGCAAAATTGAAAGTTTTATCTCAAACAAGAGACCCACGGGTGAAGAAGAAAATAAGATTTGAAATACAAATTCTTGAAACCAACATTCGCAAGTTAAAAAGAAAACTGAATTTGAATGAAGGCTTACCTCCACAAGATGAAGACAAAGACAGAAAAGGTAAAACTAGGAAAGAACGTCTAGAAATTCTTCGCAGGAAACTTGAAGTAATTAAAAAGAAGCTTTCTAAACCACAAAGTAAATCAGATGCCAAGAAGTTACTGGAGATGAAAGAGATCATTAAAAAACGAATAAACCGATTGACAGGGAATAAGGATGCAGATAACAAGAAAGACACTAACAATAAAGAGAGAGAAGAAAATAATGTGGAAAATAAAGACAATAACATAAAGCTTTTAAAAGAAAAATTGAAAGCAGTACTGAAGAAAATTAGTGAAACGAACGATAAGAACACTAAGAAAGATTTGCAAGAAAAGGCAGAAAAACTTGTTAACAAAATACGCCGTTTAAAAGGCTTGCCACCAATCGAAAATAAGGATGACTTAGATGAGAATAGACTCGATCGTCTGATAAGAAGATTTAGAGAACTAAAACAACAAATTTCAAACACAAAAAATGAACGTGAAAGGAAATCTTTACAAGATGAAGCAGATGAAATCAAAGATAAGATTGATAAAATTAAAAATCGACAGAATAAAGATGACGAAGACAAAAGCGGAAGAACTAAAGAGGAACGTCTTGACAGTCTTCGTAGCAAACTTGAAAGGGTTAAAAAGAAGCTTTCTAAACCACAGAGTAAATCAGATGCTAAGAAGTTACTGGAGAAGAAAGAGATCATTAAAAAACGAATTAACCGATTGACAGGGAATAAAGCTACAGATAAAAATAAAGACACAAGCAAGAAAGAGAAAGAAGAAAATAATGTAGAAAATAAAGACACGGACATAAAGCTTTTAAAGGAAAAATTGAAAACAGTACTGGAGAAAATTAGTGAAACGAACAATAAGAACACTAAGAAAGATTTGCAAGAAAAGGCAGAAAAACTTACTAACAAAATACGCCGTTTGAAAGGCTTGCCACCACTCGAAAATAACAATGACTTAGATGAGAATAGACTCGAACGTCTGATTAGGAAATTAAAAGAACTAAAACAACAAATTTCAAACACAAATAATGAACGTGACAAGAAATCATTACAAGATGAAGCAGATGGAATCAAAGATAAAATTGATAAAATTAGAAAACGACAGAATAAAGACGACGGAGACAAAAGCGGAAGAACCAAAAAAGAACGTCTTGAAATTCTTCGTAGGAAACTTGAAGTGATTAAAACGAAGCTGTCTAAACCACAGAGTAGATCAGATGCTAAGAAGTTACTAGAGAAGAAACAGATCATTCAGAAAAGAATAAACCGATTAACAGGAAATACAGATACAGATAAAAAGAAAGACGCTGCAAAAAAGGACAAAGACGAAAACAAAGTAGAAAATAAAGACAATGACATTAAGCTATTAAAGGAAAAATTGAAAGCAGTACTGGAAAAAATTAGTGAAACGAACGATAAGAACACTAAGAAAGATTTGCAAGAAAAGGCAGAAAAACTTACTAACAAAATACGCCAATTAAAAGGCTTGCCACCAATCGAAAATAACGATGACTTAGATGAGAATAGACTCGAACGTCTAATGAGGAAATTAAAAGAACTAAAACAACAAATTTCAAACACAAAAAATGAACGTGAAAGGAAATCTTTACAAGATGAAGCAGATGAAATCAAAGATAAGATTGATAAAATAAGAAAACGACAAAATAAAGATGACGAAGACAATAGCGGAAGAACTAAAAAGGAACGTCTGAACATTCTTCTTAGTAAACTTGAAAAGGTTAAAAAGAAGCTTTCTAAACCACAGAGTAAATCAGATGCTAAGGAGTTACTGGAGAAGAAAGAGATCATTAAAAAACGAATTAACCGATTGACAGGGAATAAAGATACAGATGAAAAGAAAGACGCTGCAAAAAAGGACAAAGACGAAAACAAAGTAGAAAATAAAGACAATGCCATAAAGCTCTTAAAAGAAAAATTGAAAGCAGTACTGGAAAAAATTAGTGAAACGAATGATAAGAACACTAAGAAAGATTTGCAAGAAAAGGCAGAAAAACTTACTAACAAAATACGCCAATTAAAAGGCTTGCCGCCAATCGAAAATAACGATGACTTAGATGAGAATAGACTCGAACGTCTAATGAGGAAATTAAAAGAACTAAAACAACAAATTTCAAACACAAAAAATGAACGTGAAAGAAAATCTTTACAAGATGAAGCAGATGGAATCAAATATAAGATTGATAAAATAAGAAAACGACAGAATAAAGATAATGGAGACAAAAGCGGAAGAACTAAAAATGAACGTCTTGACATTCTTCGTAGTAAACTTGAAATGATTAAAAAGAAGCTTTCTAAACCACAGAGTAAATCAGATGCAAAGAAGTTACAGGAGAAGAAAGAGATCATTCAGAAAAGAATAAACCGATTGACAGGGAATAAAGATACAGATGAAAAGAAAGACGCTGCAAAAAAGGACAAAGACGAAAACAAAGTAGAAAATAAAGACAATGTCATAAAGCTTTTAAAAGAAAAATTGAAAGCAGTACTGGAAAAAATTAGTGAAACGAATGATAAGAACACTAAGAAAGATTTGCAAGAAAAGGCAGAACAACTTACTAACAAAATACGCCAATTAAAAGGCTTGCCACCAATCGAAAATAACAATGACTTAGATGTGAATAGACTCGAACGTCTAATGAGGAAATTAAAAGAACTAAAACAACAAATTTCAAACACAAAAAATGAACGTGAAAGGAAATCCTTACAAGATGAAGCAGATGGAATCAAAGATAAGATTGATAAAATAAGAAAACGACAGAATAAAGATAATGGAGACAAAAGCGGAAGAACTAAAAATGAACGTCTTGACATTCTTCGTAGTAAACTTGAAGTGATTAAAAAGAAGCTTTCTAAACCACAGAGTAAATCAGATGCAAAGAAGTTACTTGAGAAGAAAGAGATCATTCAGAAAAGAATAAACCGATTGACAGGGAATAAAGATGCAGATAACAAGAAAGATACTATGAAAAAAGAGAAAGAAGATGATGTAGAAAATAAAGACAGTGACGTAAAGCTATTAAAAGAAAAATTGAAAGCGGTACTGGAGAAAATAAGTGTAACTAGCGATAGGAACAGTAAGAAAGATTTAAAAGAAAAGGCAGAAAAACTTACTAATAAAATACGTGATTTAAAAGGTTTGCCACCATTAGAAAAGAAAGATGAATTCAATGAGGATAAACTCGAACGACTGATAAGGAAATTTAAAGAACTGAAACAACAGATTTCGAATGCGAAAAATGAACGTGAAAAAAAATCTTTACAAGATGAAGCAGAAGAAATCAAAGATAAGATTGATAAGATACGAGACCGACAAAATGAAGGTGATGAAAATAAAAAGGGAAACGGTAAAACTATAAAGGAACGACTGGATATTCTTCCCACAAAACTCGAAATAATTAAAAAGAAGCTGTCTAAACCACAGAGTAGATCAGATGAAAGGAACCTGCTTGAAAAGAAGGACGTCATTCTGAAAAGAATCAAGCAATTGAATGGAAATAATGATAAAGATGAAAAAGAGGATAAGAAAAACAGGAAAGGTAACAAGAAAAGTAAAAAAGGTGAAACGCAAAGTGAAAGTAAAGACAAAAAGAAATCTGAGCTGAAGGTTGATATCCACGATGATAAATTTAACCGTCTTATAAGGAAATTAAAAGAAATCAAGCATCGTATTTCAGAAGCAAAAAATGAGCGGAAAAGGAAATCTTTACAAGATGAAGCGGATGATCTGCTTAGAAAAATTGAAAAAAAGCTGAAAACTGATGTCGACAAGAAAGGTGGTGAAAAAGATGATAAGAAAAGTATTCGAAATCGGGAACAAAACAGAAAAGGTCAGCTTAAACAGAAACAGAGCAAGATGGAAAATAGAATTTCAAACACAAAAGACAAACTTGAGAAGCAGAAAAGAAAAAACTCTTTTTTGAAAAACAAAATTGAGAAAAAATCAGAGAGCAGAAATAATGGGCCTGGGGATATGGATATAAATACCCGTTTACAAGTCGTAAAAGGATATTTGGAAAAACTGGAAATAATGCTTTCTCAAACGTCTGACAAAGAGAAAAGAAAAGTTTTGAAAGAAGATAGGCAACTTCTTAATGAACGAATTTCTTTCCTACGTAAAGAATTAGATGAATCTGACGGGATTTCAGACACTGAAAGTATTAATGACAGATTGACAAAATTAAAAGAAAAACTTGAGATCGTAATGAAAAGACTAAAGAAAGAAAGTGATCCGAGCACTACCGAAACATTGGAGAGAAAAAGGAAGGTTCTGAAAAGACGTATAGATGGACTAACCAAAGAACTTGGCTATTAATGTTTCCAAGACAGTGAGTATTTTTATTTATCCTAAAAAACGTAAAAATGTATAAACTTTTAAATAAGAATAACAAACTTTAAATGTTGATATTTTCTATAATTTACTGTGTTTATAAAATATCAATAATTTGTCAATATCTGAGTTTTATGAAATCGAACGTCTGTTTTTCTTACTTTCCACACTTTACCGTTGAATTCTGTATAAGCCAATGCTAATACTGGTAGTTGTGAACGGTAACTTGTATTTGCTACATCTGTCCATGAAAATGTGTTAAATTTTCTCATGTTGTTTTTGTTTGATGTAAATGGCGGTATAGAATATTTTGCAAGTGTTAACGATGCACAGACTTGTACAGTCGATTATTCGGTTGACTATTCGCAATTTTATTGAAATTTCGATATTTTATTAATGCCTTTGTCTATATATTTTGAAATTAGATATTTGCTAACATAACGATGGACATTATTTTAGTCATTGTGTTGGAGCACAGAACATTTATGTTTTATTTTTATAGAATTCATACTGACAAGCGTCATGGACAACGACGATAATGGTGTTTGATTATGGACGTTTGTGGTGTTTAATATTCGGCTATTCATTTAAAACGTTTCAACGATAACTTCCAGAATATAAAATGTTTCTGCTTGACTTACTTTGTTTCCATTAACGTAATAAATATTTATCTAGCATCTCCATTATGTGTTTGTTAACTCAATTTCGTTTCTGGTAATGATAGAAATTGAAAGACACGCCCCAATGAATTAAATCCTCCTCTCCAGTGGTATATTATGACTCTTTTGTTAATATTTTTACGTCGCATCAACGCGATAGAGGCCAATTGGCAAATTGCCAGCTAAACTGGTTGAGGAAGAACTCGGGTGCCCCTCCGTGCATAATTTTAAGCACGAACGAGAACTTGCGTAAAACCATCGACGTCCCATAAGCTGGATAGCTTACTCACAGAAACCCATAGGTTCTGGATCATATCCAGTGAAAAAATTCATCCATATCCAGTGAAATTAATCATTTAATTGTATCAAACTCCAAACTTTAAACAGCAGTTGTATTTCATAGTGTAAACAGTAACAACATACTTCTGTTGTATCACGTGAGGTTTTATCACGTGACAGTTTTATCACGTGAGAAAGTTGTGCAAAATGTCGTGTCGGTTGACTAAGCGTATTAATATTTCTTTCTTCTAAAACAAAACTATAATATTAATTTTCCATAGGAAAAGTCGCATAGCTGAATGTATTCCTTTGCCTTTTCTAATAACAATATAAAGAATTATTAGATGTTGGTTTTGATTTAACATTCGATCTATCCGAGTTCACTAAAGGGAGGCAACTGAAGTGTTTTTTTCAGACAGTTTAGATATGAATCGTTATCATTAAACATAAATCATATCTCGTGAGATAACATATGAGCCGCGTCACGACAAAACCAACATAGAGGATTTGCGACCAGCATGGATCCAGACCAGCCTGCGCATCCGCGCAGTCTGATCTGGATCCATACTGTTCGCTTACAAACCCTATTACAAGTAGAGAAACTGATAGCGAACATCATGGATCCTGATCAGACTGCGCGGATGCGCAGACTGGTCTGGATCCATGCTGGTCGCAAACCCATTACGTTGGTTTTGTCGTGATGCGGCTCATATGTAGATATATCAAAGGGCAATAATTAGGTTAAAATATCAAAACATAAACCCCGACAATATACGCCAGTGAACATACGTGTTTTTGACGGTGAGTTGTTAGTCATTTTAAGAATTTTAAATTGATATGGCCATTTTAACAATAACATAGGAGCAAGTAAGGAATACCTTACAATTAAGTAGGTACACTTATAACCATACTTTTCTTTTAGTGTTGAAGTTTGAATACTGCTTAACGCCAGTGTTAGCGTTTGTAATGATAGTGAGAAGTGTTTCACTTTCTGTTATTTCTCAATCGAATCGAACCCTTCGATTTTATCCAAATGCGATTTTCACCAATTCATTTTTGTTGTCATTGACTTTGAATTGTCAAAGAAATATTACATTGGAATTCAAAGAATAAGCTTAACATATGTAATATTTCTGGAAACGAATAGATGCATGACATTTCGTGATGAAAATAAATGATAAATGATACTCCAATGAATCAACTTAAGAATAACAATGGGAACTAAAAGACGCTTGTATCAAGTCAGATATTTATAACAATTAAATGATAACAATATTACAATTAAATTGTTATAACTAAAAGCTGCTAAGACAGTATTATACCACACACATACATAACAATTACCGGTTGTCACATTATGGACTACGTTGGAACACAGGCTCATCACAACTACCATACAAAACAAAGCACAACTCAGTACAAAATATGATAAACAAGATCAACAAGGAAAGGCGGCGTTCAATGAACGCAACCCCCATATGACCCAGTCACAAACTATTTTAATATATATTAACAAAAAATAAATGAATATTTATAAATGAAATTAAATGATAAGCAATGAATGAAAAGAGAAAACAAATAAATATAAAAGTTGCGTGTCCTGTCGAATAGCAATTTGTCACTTTGTCCATGTGGCTTAACTCAACAAAAATACACTGATGCTCAAGATGTGACCCATCCAAAGCAGAAGATCGATTATGAACTGTCTACAGAGTGTAGATCAAAGACTGTGGATGTGGGGCCTCTACGTCACAATCTCCAGATGTGGCCCATTCAAAGCAGGAAGATCGATTCTGTACTGTTTACAGAGTGTAGATCCAAGACTGCGTCGCTACGTTACGTCGCTATGTTGAACACATGCGTGATACAAAATTAAAGGTGAATCCTCCGAGTAGAAGCTACAAAATATAAAACACAGTAAATATCCATGGTACACAAATACAAGGGTATAATTATGTCTCTTTGGAATAGCCGGACCTTTGTCGGATTCCTATAAACAAAGCTTCTAAAAATATAATGTCCCTTTTAGAACGCCATACACACTGGTATAATAAATTCAACGTTGATTATATATCGTAGCACGTTGTAAGATATAAAACATGAAGCCAGACCGGGTGCCACCTTAATATCGACGAAATCCTTCCTTGAATCGAATCCATATTATTTCGTACAAAAAATAATCATGATGATGATGTGATATAAAAACTACTTAAATAAATAAGAATTATAAAAAAAGAACATCTGAAGCAAGCTTAATTATAAATGACTTACTGTATTAAACAAGAACATAGAACATAATGCATGATAAAGTAACGTGCACTCAATGCGTTAATGGCCTTCCATACATACAACAACTATATCATTGACAATAAACAGATTACCAATATTCAAGTAATGAATTAAACACTAGAGTCATAAATCTACAGCTGACGAAAAATTAGAGAACGAAAAATTACTGTCAAAATGCAAAAATAAAATTTCTATAAAACGAATATGTAATAAAAACTTTACCTGAATTACAAAAATTGAAATAACAAACATTTACGAAATAAAACAACAAGAAAAAAAAGTTTACCTTGCGCAAGCTTAAAAATTTACACCACAAGAATAAATTTGTCTGTCATTATAACCTTGTGCGTCTTTACACGTCTAAATGTGAGTCCCAAAGAAGATTTAAAATCGTTCAATATATGTGCATAGTTACCCTTAGCAGAAAGCGTGAAACATAACTTTCACGATTTTCTTGCATTCCAGAACGCATGTATAACAAAATATACAGGCCCGTAATATCAGTTTTATAGACCATAAATAAATTTGCACTTTATCACAAAAATCTAACTTTCTTATTTCTGGACCGAATTTTATGAAAAATATGTTAAAATGCTTGAAACAAAGAAATTTAAGCAATATATAAAAATACTGAAATAAGTTATTTCACTCGATAACTCTGAATTTTACAAAAAGATGATACAATAATTTACATTGGATTTAGTATAAAACTGAGGTTCGGCACTACAAAAATCAAGGTACTGCATGAGAGCACCTCTGAGCATTTACGAATTATGTAAAAATCAAAGTACTGAAAGCACTTCTGAGCATTTACGAAATGGTACCGGTACATTTGTAGATATTACTAAAAAAAGTCTTTTATAATGCCAGATATATCAATTAAGTGGTTCCAATGGATGGTACATTGGTGTAACTTAACTGTGCTAATATCAAGCCAGCTATTACAATTATAAGATATGAGAGGAAGGTTTATTTGCGTAAATCGAAGATGCTAATATAAAGCCAAATAACCAATTAAATGATAATTAAATACAAGATACATTTTTCTAGCTAATAAAAAGCCAGATATACTAATTAAATTTTAAGAATGGAAGATAACATATGCTAATATGAAGCAAGATTAATTATATGATAACAATTGAAGAATAAGTGGTGTAGCTAACATATGCTAGTACACAGCAAGATATACTAATTAAATGATAACAATTGAAGATGAATTCGTGTAGCTAGTATATTGTTATACATATATGCTTATACATATAAATCCAAATATAGCAATTAAATGATAACAACAGAAAATATATTGGTGTAACTGAAATATGCTTATATAAATTAAGTATATAGCAAATATAGGAGCTACATTTGTGTAACTAAACTACGTTAATATCAAGCCAGATATACCAATTAAAGGATAACCACATATCTTATGTTATGCCATTAAGACATAATGTTCAATGATAAATTGAAGTAACTAAAAACGTTAATATCACTTTGGTATCCCTATAAACGGACAATTATAAATCTTTAGATATGTAAAATGGAGGATTGAAATATATAACACCATGTTTGGGTTTTCTCCATGTATTTCTGACTTTGAACATTTTATACCTGTTGAATGAGGCTTGTTATTTTCCAGCATTAACAGCAATCAAATTAAGCTAGATTTCTAGTTTATGACAGAAATAAAAAAAAATAACACAAATTATAAACTTACAAATAATGGGTAAACAAAAATATTGTCTTGAAAATGAGCAACAACACCGAAGCTATAAAAGATGTTGACCTGCATTTTTCTTATGTATAGATGATATTTTATTAAATATGCTAACACGACCCGCATTTTTCCTTACTGAACATAGAAGAACCGAAAGTGTGTGTTATTATGCAATAAAATCACTGTTAGACATGTGACGTAATCATTATACATGTGACGCAATTACAAAAAATGTGACGCCCTGAAAACAAGTACGGAAACAAATCAGGCGCAATTTAGCTTAATAACAGGTGCGGCAGCATTTATTTGTTGATGTCGTGTTAGAATCGAGATAATATATATCCCAAATCGGCGATTTTATCGCTTGATCACATCACTGTTTGTCGCTTGGATGCGCATCATTTTATCACGAGGGCCTAGCATCCGAACTCCAAACGTTAATTTTAATGAGCGATAAAATCACTGTTTAGGATAGACTCTATATTATTTCTTAAATAAACAACTGATTACACGTCTTCAAATAATACTTAGCTGACAACATGTTTTCAAGAAATGCACAGGTTATTACATGTTTTTAAAAAAAATGCAAGTGACCTAAAGTAATGTAAACCAGACAATTTGGTAACAACAATGTTAAGCTGATAACATGTTTTCAAGTATGTACATCGATCTACCTGCAGGAATTTTGAGTTGACAACATACATCCAAGAAGTTATCAGCTGATGTAAACATGTTT